ACTGCTACAGCATTACTAGACTGTACTAATAGTTGGTATATGAATATTGACAAAAAATTATTTAACTTGGTTGTACTAATTGACTTAAAAAAGGCATTTGATACTGTCGACCACCAGATTTTACTAAAAAAACTCGAAATTTATGGCGTAAAAGGAGATGCTTTGGCTCTACTAAAATCGTACTTGATAAATCGCACTCAGAAATGCCAAGTTAATGGAACTATTTCATCGGTTGATTAAGTGTGGCGTGCCACAAGGCTCTATTTTAGGGCCATTATTCTTTTTATTATATATTAATGACTTGCCTCAGTGTCTAAGCGAAACAAAACCTCGACTGTTTGCTGATGATACAAACCTAACAGCTGCGGGAGAATCTATAAATTATGTTGAAGCTGCAATGAATTCTGATTTAGAAAACCTTAGGAAATGGTTAATTGCCAACAAACTAAGTTTAAATGTGGCCAAAACAGAATTTATATTAATTGGATCTAAACCAATGATAAAAAGTATCTCAAATAAACAACCAAACATTATCATAGAAAACAAACCAATTAAACAAGTATATGATTGCAAAACTCTTGGAGTGACTGTTGACCAGCATTTGTCTTGGAAGAATAATACCGAAAGAATAATACTGAAACAATTTGCAAGAAAATAACATCTGGGATATCAGCTCTTCGTCAAATAAAAGAATTTGTTGAGAAAGATACACTTGTCTCTGTGTATAATTCTATTGTTCGCCCATACTTTACATATTGCTGTGAAGTATGGGATGTGTTTGGTGAAACACAATCAAAACGCCTCCAAAAGCTCCAAAACAGAGCTGCTCGAATCATAATGAATATGAGCAATGATGTAGATCATCTGGTTGCTTTAGATGCTTTAGACTGGAAGCCACTTAAAACGGAAAGAATAAAGGCTAAGTCCAGACTGATGTTTAAATTGTTGAATAAAATGGGTCCTAAATCACTTACTGATTTATTTACTTTCAAAAGTGAAATGACAAATTATAAACTTCGAGATGTGGAAAGTACTCTTTGCTTACCACAGCCGCGTACAAATAGCTTGAAAAAAAGTTTCATGTTTGACGGGGCACACATTTGGAATTCTTTACCAACCGAAATTAGAGAGAGCAACTCCATCATGTCCTTTGAAACTAAAATCGCTACTCACATTTTTGAATACTCACATTTTTGAATAGCATTATTATTCTTATACTTATATAATTATGTATATATATATATATATATATATATATATATATATATATATATATATATATATATATATATATATATATATATATATATATATATATATATATATATATATATATATATATATATATATATTATATATATATATTTCTTACTGTATGTAATATCTTACTATATACTATATCTTTGTAATTTTATTATTGTACACGCCCCTTGTGGAAATCAGCCTAGGTTGACAATGGTTAGCGTGTTTAAATAAAAGTTTCTATCTATCTATCTATCTATCTATCTATCTATCTATCTATCTATCTATCTATCTATCTATCTATCTATCTATCTATCTATCTATCTATCTATCTATCTATCTATCTAGCATAAAGTTAAGAGGTTTTTCTCTAATCTTAATCATGAGGTTGACCATCTTGAACAATTTTCGTGTCTTTCTTGTAAAAACCTAGTTAAGTGCATTTGTTACTCACACTGAATTTTCTTTTAATTTTTACTTATATTGTCAAAACTAAAAAAAACATGCATGCTTAACAATACAGTTGTTTTCATATTTGGTACTATAAGTTGTATAGTCCCATATGTCTGTGTCAAATGCTACTATAGACTTGCTTCTTTGTATATATTGTAAATACTGTAGGTTATCTAATTTTTAGAGGGCCATTTGGTAGAATACCTTCTCAGGTAAAAATGTTAATTTACCCTCATCAAATAAAGTTTATTATTATTAACAGAGGTCCAGTGACGTCACAAACTCTTTTTTAACGCTAGCAACTATTGTTGTCCCCCGAGCAAAGCGGAAAAGTTGAATACGAGCGCGAAAGGCTGCTGGGAATCGCTAATAAATTAATGAATTTTTTAGCGATTCCCAGCAGCCTTTCGCGCTCGTATTCGACTTTTCCGAATTTATTAGCGATTCCCAGCAGCCTTTCGCGCTCGTATTCGACTTTTCCGCTTTGCTCGGGGGACAACCTTGATTGAAATAGTTGTATATAGTTGAAAAAGACCGGAGTGGCTAACAACCAAAAAGTGTTTCTTCTAGCTTATCATTCGTATAAGGCAAAACTATTACAACAACAAGCATTTTTTTCTATAATCTAAATTTAGACTATAATCTAAACACAAATAAAATATTTGCTTGCGAATAGGAATTTCATATTTGCCATTTTGTTATTATTAGCGATAAGCAAAGACGGCTCAGTTAAAACAATTAAGGTGTGGAGGAAATAAGCCTCTTAAAGATGACAGAGTAGCTGTGGGCAAATATTGCAAGACAAGAATGCACATTTAGAAAATCATACGAAAATACTCATTGGTTCCCATAAAGTTCCGTTTTGAAATAATTTAATGATTTTAGTAATCACGTGGTTATATCGTTGGAACTTTATACCACTTGCATAAGAGTACGTTTTTTTATAGACAGGCGGTAGTTTGTTATAGGCTTTACTGAGGTTAGCTGTTCAGGCTTCTTTAATTTAAGATTTCAGCCTCTGCATTTTAGTCACGTCTTGTTCATAGGGCACGCTTACCATAAGCCAATTATAGCTCTCTCTCTTTCCAGCGGGTCATGATACGTTCATTTCTTTTCATTTTCTTGAACGATCTTATTTTGAACGATAAGGTCAATCTTACCTTTACCATTTCATAACGCTTACGCGGTCCTGGTGTTCCAATATAGTCCTTGCACAGACTGTAAATGTACTGTGGCAAAAATGGTTCTTTCGATTGGGCAATCCACAGGGATGGAATCTTGGTAAATGCATTAATAATAGCATTATGATTACCCATTTCGCGATTTGTTATGTAGATTTGACTGATGTATCATAAAGTTGAAAAGAGGAAAAAACAACTTATAGACTCATATATAGAAAGCTTTGTTTAACTATACTATCTGATCCTACTTGTAATATTCATATTTCTACCATAAAATTATGTATGTTGCGAAGTCTAGATCTGCCATAGGCGTACGGGAAGGAAAAAGATAGGGGGGGCGGAACGAAATTTGCCCGACTTCTTTGGATTGTGCCCGAGTTGTAAAAAAAATTTCCGGGGGGGGGAATGATTACGAAAAATTCCTATTAGATAGCATATTTCCCACAAAATTGACAGAATTTCCCACAAAATTGACAGAATTTGTCCCATTTATTTTATAATTGGGCATTATTGCCCGAATGTGAAGCGAATATTGCCCGATTGGCTTTGTTTGCCCAACAAACTGGGGGGAGGGGCTGCCGCCCCCCCCCCGGCCCCCGCCCGGTACGCCCATGAGATCTGCCATAATGTACACGTTTAATGCAAAAAATCGAATTCAGGTAAAAAGTCCCTTGTCCCTCCGTTTGAGCACTTGCAAGTTGTTTCTGTTTAGTATTGATTTCTTTCATAGTCAGATGAGTTGAACTCGCGCTGGCTCTCGTGAAGAATGCAGGGGGAGTGTATATCTATCGGATTTTGTTTCAATTTGTCTTAGAAAATTATCCATGACAATCGTTCAACCTCTAACAATATATAACAATCTTAATCAATTTCAAACAGTGAAACAGTTCTATGATACAACAGTCTATTAAAGTCTACAATTTGCGGTCCACCTTTAAAACTAGCTACAGCCGGACGCACATGCACAATTAGACCATTTCCGCGCTTGGCTGCCAAAAGGGCGTGCGCTTTTATATAAAGGCCTGCAGCTATACAGGCTAGTGCCAAACATGATACGGATGCCAGATTTCGAGTTATTTTTCTCACCAAAACATTCAGGAATGCAACTACATTCCTAAGTCTAGGAAACAGCATATCTCCTATTGCAGGCACTACATCCGTAAAAAACTCCCTTGTCAATGCCCCACTGTCAATTCCATCCTCTTCAAGAAATTTTATTCTCAACTCGTGATGTACACCTTGCTTCTTGGCTTCATATCGCCACAAGTTTAACACACGTGGTAGTGGTGTTCTCCGTCTTACCGTGATGAAAAACTGTTTTTCTTTGTTCACACTCTTTTCCAAGGCTTGGACCACATCAGTAATTGTGCTATAATCATGGGGTGTACTGATACCGCTTGTTCCCTCTAATTGATTACTGTCTGATGTATCATTCGTGATTGACACAGTTTGGTCGAGCAAATTATGAGTAACACTTGTTTGAAAGGAGTTCTGAGAGCTGCTTTCACCTTGTAATTGTCTCTGGAGTTCAATGGCAAATGCTTCATCATTGTTGATCAAATCTGCTGTATCATCAAATTCAGTGAGGTCCCAGTCAACAACTTCACAATTAAAACAGTCCTCTTTAAGTCGCTTTGGTTGAATGTTGAATTCTTGTGCTGAGTCCGAGTCTTCATTCTCCATAGGAGACTCGCGATCGGCTCTCTCTGAATGCAAAAAATCGTCAGAAGTGCACAGGTACATAGTAATTCTCTTAAAATCCTTTCCTATTTCCTCTTGATAACGTCCCAACGAAAAAAATTCTTTCGTAGGCCCAGGTAAAAATATCGCCTCTTTGCCACTGTCAAGTAAAAGAACATACGTATGGTTTTCACTGTAAAGGTCAGGATTGTAGGCTTTCCACTTCTCTAAAGCTTTCTCACACAACACTTTGTATGGATCTTCTTTACATACTTTGAGTGCCAGACGCTTCCCTCGCATGGGCTTGAGCTTCAAATATTCTTCAGACCACTTCATTATTCCAATAAATATCACCACTTCTTGGTTCCGCGATTTGGCTTCTACTTCTGTTCCTTTTCCTTTCCCTTTCTTTGCCTTAGTTGATGGAAACTGCCGCCCAGTTCCAGTTTTCTTCTCATAATATTGCTTGAAATTCAACACTCGACCAAAACGACCTTTAGGCTCTGGTTGTTTTGAAGACGAGGAACTTTGCTCATTTGATTCAGACTGACTGCTTGTTTGAGGTTCTATACAACAAAAATTTGTAATAAAAAATTAGAAGTACTCTTATATATGAAACCAAAAAACATAGTTAACGATTTCTCTCAAATTTCATATGCCTGCATTTTGGGGGTTGGCATGGGGTTAAGGCTGTACCTGTTTTTCTTTGTAATGTATTTTGATAGAGTATAATATTGAGTGTAAACGAATAATGTAAAAACACTTAAAGAATCACAGTCAACCGTGATGACATCCGAAGCGTATTCTTATCAATCAGTTAATATTAGACGATCATATTTTTCATATTTGGAATATGTTAATAGATAATAGTTTGAGATTTTGGCGTGTGTGTTTTAGAAAGCCGTTTTCTCATTTTATAAAGTAGACGGCTAATCATGGCTTTTGTATTTCCCGTTCGTGGAAGACCAACAAGTGAGGGTATATAAAAAAGAATCAGTATCGTTGACAAGTTGAACGTACGTCCTTTGGACAGAAAGGAAAGAAAACCTAGGAATACGGGGGCTTTCGCATAGCGAGTTCCCGGGAATACGGGGGTTTTTCGCATAACAAGTTTGCCGAAATCCTGCATTCCTGCTCCATCAAACCATGGACGAACTGCGTGAACGTGGCAGGCGATATATGGGGCAGGAATCAGAATCTCGTAGTTTACACCAGCGCTCAGCGGGTAAATGTATTAAAGTTTTTTGTTTATAATAAAGTTAATGCATATCATTCTTAGTGTACGACTGTTTTCGAAGACAACACGTATATTAGTGCTGTGCAAACTCCGGTTCTTCATCTCCGGCTCCGGCCGAATTACAGCTCTGAGCTCCGGCTCCGGTCACATCATAAAATATTAAATAAATGTTTTACGATCAGAGAACATTTATTAATATTATTATGAATAACCCTTTTCGCGCTTCCTAATTATCAGATATCATAACTCAGGAAACAAAACAGTGAAAACACTTAACCACGCAGAAAATATCTATATGGAAACCAGCCTCGAAAAATCTTTGACACGAGGCATGACGTGAGGCATGACACTAACACTCTCAGACTCCACAGCGCAATTTTTTGCACGCAAACAAAGTACTCTGTCATTTTCAAAAGGTTGATATTTATTTGTTTTGTACTTTTTCGTTATCTACAAGGCATGAATACACAGACCACAGTATGTAGCGCTAAGTCAGATGGCTTCATGAAAGCATGACGTTTGTAAGTTGCGATCATATTACAGCTTTTCGACGCTGTTCGTGTGGGCTGTGGCAGTTTGAGTCTATGATGAATTCATTAACAGCAATTGGCAGTTTGCTGTAACTAACAATCGTTTGACATTTGTCTCATTTCATATTGTTTTCTTGTCATTTTGCCGGGGCTGGGAAAACGTAACTCCGGGCTCCGGCATACAAAATTCTGCTCCGGCTCCGGCGTCGGAAAAACCGCCGTTGCTCCGGCAGAACTCCGGCTCCGGCAACTCCGGCGCACAGCACTAACGTATATGTAAACATTCACATAGCGCACGAAGCATCACGGCTGACTGTGACTGCATTTTTAACAACTATGTAGCACTGTTAACAAAAATTGAAAACCACATTCCTTATTAATTAAAATGCATATCAATCCATTTGTTACTCGTCAACGATTATTACACTATTTATATGTTTTAGAGCCCATGAACACCTCTTCATCCTCACTCATGTTTACATTCCTTTTCCCATTTTAGAATGTCTAACCATAGCACTTATTGCATAGACCTATGAACCAATTATTTCCACATTATTACGTAAGAGAATACATGCATGCACAGTTAATTAAAGAGGTTTATTACAGGTATTTCATTCTTTCTTAGAGGTTGTTTATATGGAAGCCAGGCTGTCCCAGTTACTGAGACAGCCTGGTAAGCAGGATGATTTTGTTTTGTTTTTATATTGAGGAAATTCCATCCACCTTTGCAGGACGATTTTGTTGTTTTGAACGTTTTAAAATAGCTTGTGGCTCCATCTTTAAAAGTCATAACACCAACTGAGCCAGCCTGGTTATTGAATGTTTATATATGGAAAAATTTTCATCCGGTAGCTGAGATCACATCATCTTCAAGTGAGATCTCGGCAAGGAGGCAAGCACATCTGTCGATATAAGCACCGTCTTAGCAGGGCAGCTTAAGATGAACAAATACATTTTGGCATAGATCCGTTATACATATGGGGATATAAATGTTTGGTGTTATACATCTTAACAAACTATCATTGACCATTAGGATGGATACTCGTACATTTTTTACAAAGCCCCTAACATGTTAAAAATCCTCATAAATATCAACACTGATACCTTTTTTATACAGTGAAGTTGTTATCATGAGTAGCAAGCATGCTTACAACTAACAAGTATAACTTACTAAATTCAGTACCATAAACTGCTGTGTGTGTTAATTTCTAATAGCATTGACATTTGATACCATGCAAATATGTTCAATGTATTTGCACATGTTAAATTCTTATAAAGATCAAAATACAAAACTAATTGATTTATAGTTTTTATACATTTTTCAGTATTTTAAAATTTTAGTATGTATATGCAAAACTACATATTAAGTTAATACCTTTCTCTTCAGACTCTACTCTATCCACATTTGTTTTCACTAGTTATAAAAAACAATAAAATATACTTAAAATATGCTTAAAATATATTTTAAAATATACAATAAAATATACTTCCGTTTGTTGTATCTAAATAATAGTGACAAGTGGTAATAATCCAGTTATTAGTTGCATCACTAAGATCAGTGACTCAACTGTTGTCATAGGAACAGAACAACCAAGTCTGATTTACTATACATGTTAGAATTTGTTGTTATATTGCACTTTCAAAACTATGCACCTACAATCTATATATGCACCTACCAATCTTTAGTCCCATGGGCAACCATGGGAAAATTGGTCATGCATTACTGCACATACAGTATGTGGGTTGGGAATTTTACAACACTGAAGGACCCCAGGGTGGGACAAATTTGCAAAGCCATCAACTTCAATAATTGAAAAGACTGGACCCACCTGGTGATCCTGGGTGGATACAATGTGATGAAAGTGACCTATGGTTCTGCCTACAGTGCACATGTTTGAAGCCCTGGGGGGTACTGGCGAAATGTTAGTCACAGGGCCTATCAGAGAAAGTTTTTGTTTCGGGAAATTTTTTTTCGGGTAAATTTTTTTAGGGCCAATTTTTGTTTCGGGCGCCCTATGTTTCCCATTTGCCCTATTTATTTTTCCCAAAAATGTTGGCGACCAAAAAATTTTTTTCTGGACAAATCCCTGTTACAACATGGGTCAAACCCTTTTTTTCAATCAATAAATGTAAAATTTTGGTTTAGAAAATTTTTTCACATTATTTTAATATATCGAAAATATTTATATTTATCATTTTATCATTATTTTTTTTCAATTTTGCAAATTAGCCCCCCCCCCCTTAAACTGGGGCCTGGGGTAAATTGCCCCCAGTGCCCCCCCCTCTGAAAGGCCCTGGTTAGTCATTGCATATTACAAAATTAAATCACAAAATACGTATTCCAATTTCATTCAATGAGACAAATTATGGAAACTAGAATATTATAAAAGTGTAAGTAAACAATTACATGTAGGCCTAAGGCTATGCTTTCAGATATCATTCAGTAATATCATTTAAGTTATGACATTATAGTTATGATTAAATGGCGAAAAACCACGATAAAACATGCGCGTTTTAATTTTTAAACTGGAACAAAATTCCCGTCCCTGGGGGACGACTTCTAGTAAGCAAATGCACGACCCTAGGAACATGTGCAGACGGCAAATGCCTCAAAAATCCCAGGCGATACGCCGATAGGGATGAACATGGAATTGATCGAGACATCAACAATCTAGCAAATTATTCGGGGTTTTTTCCAAATTAAAACATATTATGGACAATAACATTACCTTTAGTTCCACAGTTTGGACAAAATTTTATATTCTCCTGCAACTGTTGGCCACAAAAGCAGCAAAACATTTTGAAATTTGAATATATATTAGAATAAACTCATAAAAGATTCATGAACACGTGTATTAAACGACAATGGCACGAAGTCGATAAGGCTAAGTAAATGCTAAGTAACATGAAGTTTTGAACTGGGGATATTTGGTTTGTGCTGTGGCGATATTATGTTTGTGCCGTGAAGTTTTTGTTCGTGCCGTGAAGTTTTTGTTCGTGCAGTGGAGTTTTTGTTCGTGCCGTGAGTTTTTGTTCGTGCCGTGGAGTTTTTGTTCGTGCCGTGGAGTTTTTGTTCGTGCCGTGGAGTTTTTGTTTGTGCCGTGGAGTTTTTGTTCGTGCCGTGGAGTTTTTGTTTGTGCCGTGGAGTTTTTGTTTGTGCCGTGAAGTTTTTGTTCGTGCCGTGACAATATCTTGTTTGTGCCGTGACCCCTATGGGCCACCGTAATTTCGCTTACCTCAAAATTCCGCAACAGTCTGTTTCATCAGTAAAGAATCATCAGGCGGTATGACAAGTTTCGAAAAATGGGGCTGCTTATATGTGTTTTGGCCGGAACGTGGGGGTGTGTGGGTGAAACAAAGCATGCATTCATCTATTGTTTGCGTTGTTTACGCGGAAATGCCTAATCGAATTG